CCTCTCCCTCCTCCCCGCCGTCGCCCATCCCTCCTCCCCGCCGTCGCCTCTCCCTCCTCTTCGCCGTCGCCCATCCCTCCTCCCCGCCGTCGCCTCTCCCTCCTCCCCGCCGTCGCCTCTCCCTCCTCCCCGCCGTCGCCTCTCCCTCCTCCCCGCCGTCGCCCATCCCTCCTCCCCGCCGTCGCCTCTCCCTCCTCCCCGCCGTCGCCTCTCCCTCCTCCCCGCCGTCGCCTCTCCCTCCTCCCCGCCGTCGCCTCTCCCTCCTCCCCGCCGTCGCCTCTCCCTCCGCATCACGGTCGCCTTTCCCCCCCATCCGCCGTCGCCGCTCCCTCCTCCCGCCGTCGCCGCTCCCTCCCATCCCGCCGTCGCCTCTCCCTCGCATCCCGCCGTCGCCTCTCCCTCCCATCCCGCCGCCGACTCTGTCGACAGGTCACGAGCAAGCTGGTGCGCGAGTGGGAGCCGGTGCGCGAGCGCGGGTTTGACTCTGCACCGTGAATTGCAGGTGCGTTTACCTTTCCCTGTCCTTTTTTCCTCCCTTCCCCCTACTGAAAGGTCCTATATTTCCGATTTTTCCTATCGTATTTGTAGTTTCTGTGTGTTGATTGGTCTCTTGCGTTGCACTACTATTTGAAGAGGGGGGAGAGGGAGCGCGAGGGAGCGAGAGCGCAGGAGAGTGCGCGCGTGAGAGCTAAGGAAGCACTAGAGGGAGAGGCGCGAGAGAGAGCGCCGTGCGCGCTTGCGCCGTCGGCGCGGGCCCTATTGGCGCTTGTGCCTAGCCCCTTGCGCTTAGGGCGCTGGGGCCGTGGGCGCAAGCGCCGTGGTTGCTGGCGCCTAAGGCGCTTGCGCTTATGGCGCAGACGCCTTGGCCGCTTGCGCCTAAGGCTCTTGCGCCATGGGCGCTGGCGCATAAGGTGCTTGCGCTTAGGGCGCTGGCGCCGTGGGCGCTTGCGCCGTTGGCGCGGGCTCCGTGGGTGCTAGCACCTAACGTGCTTGCGCTTAGGGCGCGAGCGCCGTGGGTGCTGCCCCATGAGGCGCTGGCTCTGTGGGCGCTTGCGCCGGGGGCTCTGGCGCCTTGGGCGCGAGCGCCGTTTGTGCTGGCGCCTAAGGCGCTGGTGCAGTGGGCGCGGGCGCCGTGGGCGCTTGCACTTGCTGGCGGCTTGGGCACGGGCGACGTGAGGGCGAGACTTGGATGTGCACGTGCACTTGCGGGTGAGTGCGGTTGTGAGTGCAAGGGCAAGTGCGAGTGTGAACGAGAGAGCAGGTGCGAGCGTAAGCGCGAGTGTGAGTGCGAAAGCAATTGTGGGAGTGAGTGCCAGGGCGAGTTTGAGGGTGAGTACGAGTGTGAGTGTGTGTTAGTACAAGGGGGAGTGCGAGGGTCCGTTTGAGTGTGTGCTAGGGTGAGTACGATGATGAGTGCAAGAGTTTGTGTGTGTGTTTCTGTGATTGTCGAAGAAGAGTTGAGAGTACATTACATGTGTTTGAGTGCAAGAGTGAGTGCGAGAGTGAGTGCAAGAGTGAGTGCGATGGTGAGTTAGATGGTGGCTGCGATGTTTAGTGCAAGCGTGAGCGCGGGTGTGAGTGCGAGGGTGTGTGAGATGGTGTGTGAGGGCAAGTAGAAGAGTGAGTGCGAGGGTGAGTTCGAGGGCGAGTGTGTGGGTGTGGGTGTGAGTTGAGTTCAAGGGTGCCACCGTGCCGGCGACTGTGTGTGCGTGTGAGTGTGAAAGTGTTCGAGTGAGTGCGCGAGTTCGAGGGTGAGTGCAAGGGTGTGTGTTTGTGTTTCTGAGGGTGTGTCTAAGAACGGTTGAAAGTAATTGTGCGTCCGTGAGTGGTTGCGAGAGTGAGTACGGGAGTGTGTGAGGGTGAGAGGGCGGTATCCGGGTGCGAAAGCGGGTGTGACTGCGAGTGTGAGTACGCGCATGTACTTGAGGGTAAGTGCGAGGGTGCGTGCAAGTGCGTGTATGCGGGTGAATATGAGAGGAAGTACGAGGGTGCGTGTTTAGGTGAGTGCGAGGGTGAGAACGAGAGCAAGAGTTAGAGCAAGTGCGAGAGTGAATGTGAGTGTAAATATGATGGTGCAGGGTTTGGGGTGAGTTTGAGCTCGAGTGTGAGGGTAGTTCAAGGGTGAGTGCGAGGATGAGTGGGTGTGCGTGTGAGTGCAAGGCTGAGAGCGAGACTGTCTTAGGGTGAATGCGAGAGCAAGTGCGAGTGTGAGTGCAAGGGTGCGTGTGAGTGTCCTTGCGTGCGCGTGGAAGTATTTGTAACGTGTAACGTATGATTGGAATGAGAATGATCATGAGTGCGACGGTAAGTGCAAGAGTTAACGTGTAGGTTTGTATGTGTGTTTCTGTGTGAGTGTGTCTAAGAAAGTTGAGAGTATTTGTGCGTGTGTGAGTGGGTGCGGGATTGAGTACAAGATTGAGTGCGAACGTGAGTGTGAAGTTGAACTTGAGGGTGGCTTCAAGGCATGGCATCATGCTGGTGTAGTATCTGTGGTGCCACGACTAATACCAATTTACCTCTGTGAGCTGTCAAATCGATTGCTCATCTTTTTCCATTGTGCTTATTTCGTCTCTAGTGGGTGAGCTGCATTCTCTGCTTTTGTCTTCTTGTGCAATCCTATGAGGTGTACTCTCTTTGTTTTTGCTTTCTTATGCAGTGTGGGTGAGTTGTTTCCTAATTGGCCTCCTCACATGAGTTGCATCCTCTGTTTTTGCTTTCTTGTGCAGGGCGTGTTGCATTCTCTGTTTTTTACTTTGTGCAGGGCTCGTAAGCTGCATTCTTTGATTATGTTTGGCGGAGAAGGGAGATGAGGGAGGCAATGGGAGGGAGATGAGGGAGGGACGGAGGGAGGGATGGAGGGAGGCAAGGAGGCAGGGAGGGAGGGAGGGAGGGAGGGAGGGAGGGAGGGAGGGAGGGAGGGAGGGAGGGAGGGAGGGAGGGAGGGAGGGAGGGAGGGAGGGAGGGAGGGAGGGAGGGAGGGAGGAAGGAGGGAGGGAGGGAGGAAGGGAGGGGTGTAGGGAGGGTAAGGGGTGATTGGCTAGTGATGATTTACTAATAGCTGAATTTCATGATGGTTGTGTGTTGACTATCCGTATGTATCTGTGCTTGTTTGCGTGCGTGTCAGTGTGTATGTGTGTGTGTGAGCCTGTGTGTGCATGTGCAGTCGTGTTGTTTGTATCGTTTGTGTCTGTCTCAAGGCGTGTGCTGAAGTGCCTCGTGTATGCAACTCAGGTTGTGATCGCCGGTGGGGCAATAGCCTTAGCGTGCCAGACCAACCTTCGTTGCATCATCGATGCATTTTAGCATTCTCCCCAAGACACTCATTGTTATGCGTTGTCGTCGTTGTACCAGTACAATGTCGCATGTGCTCGTTCGTGTTTGTTGTAAGGTGTCATGTTAAACTGTGTCAGGTCTGCAATTGAGGTGGGGATCGTTGTTGGGGCAGCGTTGCTCGCCTTAGCATACCGGATCCATCGCTATTGTAGCACTGATGCATTTTGCCATTCACTTTATGACATTTGCTGTTGTTGATTGTTGTCGTTTTGCACATGTTCGATACGGTAGATGCAAATCCGTAATTTGCATCCACGCCGAATTTGTTGTCTCGTCAATTGTGTGTGATGTACCGTACAATATGGCGAGGCTGCTACCAATTGTTTCCATTCGCCGTATTTATCGACGATTATGGAATAATTGGTCTCATTTGGTTTCACTTTTTTTGGAGGCTCTTGTATAGCAGTGCTGTCATCTCCACACATTTGAAGCACACGTTCTCAAAACGTTAAAGCTAGTGCTTCAGATGTTGGGAATATGACAAAAATGTGCACTGTTCATTCGAGTCGACCGAAAAAAGTGCTACCAAATTTAAAGGGGTTGCTACGCAACCCAAAAACCTGAAAATGTTGGTTGAGAGGAAGGATTCGGAATGTGCATTCAGTGTACACTTCGATAAAAGACTGAAAAATCAGTGTCAACTATGAAATAAAGGCTGAAAAATCAGTGTCACAAAATTCTCAACACTGAAAAATCAGTGTAGGTACAAAAAAATCCCTGAAAATCAGGAATTTCAGGGAAAAATTCCTGATATCGTAGGGCCTGGTCGTCACTGTATCGAACCGCAACAGCAACAGTAAAGAAGTTATAACTGTATCTCTTCGTATTCCGTGTACTCTTATATAATCCTGTATCTCCTTGCTTTAATTAACTTACTTTGCCCTCACATACCAGCGCAAGGTGGTTCAACCTCTTCATTAAAACGCTTCCGCTATTACATCAGTCCTACCCAGAGTTCACCCCTGCAAAGATCCTAAGGGCTATTTTCTCAGCCCAACATCATTGAGTCATCACAGTGTCATCTTTCTACTTTTCAATGATCAATGCAAGATTTCTATCTTGTTCGTTTCTACAAACACGTTTCCGCTACGCTGGCACTATGCCTTTCTAGTAGCATCTACCGTGAACTTGATGACCCCATGAACGGGCTTGCATGGGGAACTACGCGAACGGATGCGGTCCTCCGTTCACGGTGGATGCGACATTTGATTTCTCACATCGACGCGTGCATGCAATTTCACGTCAGCAGAAACGCAGTTCGAACCCATCGCCACTTCGCCCATCACCTCGATCTAAGATTTCCTAGTAGCTGCTGCAGCAATCGTTCTAAGCTTGAAGGTCTTGGATGCTAGGGCTCTCTGGCGAATGCGCAGATGCTGACTCATGGCGAGTGAGGCCACCTACTGGTACGCTCTTGGTAAGATCGAGACTCGGGGATGCAATGAAGAATGTGATGAGGTTGGAATCGGTTTGGAGGATTACTCCAACAGCCAATTGGAATACCCAGTGAACGATGGAGTGGAGAGAGCAGAATTGATTCCATTGCACTATTGAGCCAGATACATGAGAGCAAACGAGAGTGCAGAGCATTCTGATACAATCGCATCCTCTCCTTCAGCCTCTGCACAGTCGGCACACAAGACACCCAGCGCACGCCTTGCAGACATCTACACGAAGGTGTTGGGGCGGGAGGCCTTGAAGGTGGTCTTGAGGGAGCGCGAGGAGGCGCGCACGGAGCGGTTGGGCAGGGGGAAGCGGATCTTGTCTCCGATGAACTGCAGCGTGTTCACTCGCTTCACCTTGTCGTCCGGCACCTCCGCTGTCTTGATGATCTGGTTGGGGGGAAAAAGGAGGGTGGAGGGGGGAGGTATGAGGAAACATATGAATGGAAACACACTGAAGCGTTGACACAGGACGCAGTGGAAGTGCGTGCGGCCAGCTATTCACAACGCCCTTCCACCGCATCCCACCGCACTCCACTGCACCCCACCGCATCCCGCCGCACTGCATCACTGTCCCCAGCACGCACCTGGATGCCGTGGAAGCGCACGCGGTGGCGCGAGGCCATCTCGTCGTACATCTGCTGCACGGCGCCGTTGAGCGTGGTGTCGCGGTACTCCTTGTACATGTTGTGGTACCCCGTGCGGTTCTGGTACCGCACCCCACCGCACTCCACCCACTCACTACCACCACCACATTCCATCCAACCCCTCACAGAACCTCACCTCACCGCACTCCACCGCACCACGTTGCAGTGACTCCCCTTGACGCAGTGGAAGTGCGCGCGGCCAGCTATTCACAGCACTCCCCCCCCCACCGCATCCCAACCTACTACTGAACTATTCCACCGCACTGAACCGCCTGTTCTTAACGCACCTGGATGCCGTGGAAGCGCACGCGGTGGCGCGAGGCCATCTCGTCGTACATCTGCTGCACGGCGCCATTAAGCGTGGTGTCGCGGTACTCCTTGTACATGTTGTGGTACCCCGTGCGGCTCTGGTACCGCACCCACATGCCGTAGTTCTTCACCACCGTCGGATTCTTCTCAAAGATCTGGTTGTTGCAAGGAAAAGGGAGCAAAAGGGGAGGAAAATAAGGGAAAGGAAAAAAAAAAGGAAAGGGGAAAAATGGGGAAAGGACCGGGCATGGGGTGGGAGTCGAAGCAGGTGAAGCTTGTGAGGGCGAGAGGTTGAGATAGGGAGACGGTAAAGTAGCTAATGAACTGGTTTCAGTGCCTTTCAGACAAATGCCTCGATGCGTCGTCAGTGCCTGCAGGCTACGACTCGTCATCTTGTTAGTTTCGTCATCCTCAAGACACTCAACCTAACGTGGCTCCCAGGGGGTCTAAATCAACCTTGTATTGAACTAGGAGGATAAGGGTGATGATTCAACATGGAAAACAGATGAAAAAAAAAGAATGATACTGATAAAACTGGAGCAGAAATCTCTCAGACAAATGCCTCGTTGTGTCGTCAGAGCCTATCGGCTACGACTCGTCATCTCAAAAGTTTTTGACATCATCAAGAAAATGAAGCTCCTGGCACAGTACCCCGAAACAGCCGTCCACACAATACCTTGGTGAAAGATGATGAGGATCACAGGGAAACAATCAACGAGCAGAACGAAAACTGGACCGGATATCTTTCATACAAATGCCTCATTGTGTCGTCAGAGCCTGGTGGCTACGACTCGTCATCTTAAAGTGTTTGACATCATCAAGACAGTAAAGCTGCTGGCACAGCACCATGAAACAGCGCTTGATACCATACCTTGATAGGTTGAATGATGATGAGGGTCAGGGATCGACTATGAATGATCAGAACGAGAACAAGACCGGATATCTTTCAGACAAATGCCTCGTTGTGTCGTCAGAGCCTATCGGCTACGACTCGTCATCTTAAAAGTTTTTGACATCATCAAGAAAGCCGTGAACTCTTGCTGTTCCAAGTACTGGTGCTTGGGAATAGCAGGATGGAGAAACAGCCAGATGATCTGGCCAATGAGCGAACTGAGAACAAGAAAAGGGAAAACGAGATACGGAGTCGGTGCCTTTCAGACAAATGCCTCGTGTTTGTCGTCAGAGCCAATCGGCTACGACTCGTCATCTTGTTAGTGTCGTCATCACCAAGACATCCACTCGACTCGACTCGACTCATGCACATGGTGCATTGCTGTAATACCTGACCAAGTACTCGGACAGTACCTCGTAGACTGGGAAGAAGCATGCGAAAAGGAGGGTAGGGGAAGGACTGGAACCATAAATCCTCAAAATCAGATCCGATGTCATTCAGACAAATGCCTCGTGTTTGTCGTCAGTGCCTGCAGGCTACGACTCGTCATCTTAAAAAGTTTTTGTCATCATCAAGACATCGAAGGTTCAGTAACGTACCTTGAAAAAAAAAGGGGGTAGATGAGTACGAAGGTGGCGGAATGAGGACAAGGGATATCAATAAAACTGGACCGGGTATCTCTCAGACAAATGCCTCGTGTTTGTCGTCTCTGCTCGCGAGCTACGACTCGTCATCATAATCGTGTCGTCATCATCAAGACACCAGTCCAAACACGGTATACGTTAGCTAAACTCGGGATAAAACGGAGTAAGTACGAACGACTTGCTGCACACATGGGTAAGGAGATCGATAAAGCTGGAGCGAGCGTCTTCCTGGTAAATGCCTCACGTTTCTCGTCCCACTATTCGGCTACGACTCGTCCGACCCGTCATTTGCTAATATTCGTCATAAAAACGCCCTCCTACAGTCAGTCGCCGTAGATCAGCGACAATGTAACGCAGCGGCTACGGCTCATGTCTCGTTTACCTTCTACATCGGTTTCGGATCGACGGCAATCCTAAAATCTTGCTCTGACGCTTATCTGATTTCACAGTGACGAGGATCGATTAAGGGCTCCAATCGGTCGGGGGAGAATCTTTCAGACAAATGCCTCGTGTTGGTCTTCACGGCCTGACGGCTCCGACTCGTCATCTTGAATGGTTCGTCATCCCCAAGACACTCTCACTCCCACTCGGCCACAGCCCTATCGTTAACGGCTACGGCGCCGTTGGTCCGTCTCACACAGGCTGTTCCTGAAAGCCAGGGTCGTTAAACCCTAAACGCTCAAATAGAAACTGTCGCGGTTCTATCTCCACACTGCTGCGCAACAACAGGTGTTGTCAGACAAAACCCGCGCGGTAAGAAACAACTCAAAAGCAGACTCCACTCACTCCATGCCTGTAAGGCGTTACATCTCCGACAACCGGCCTCACGCTCTCAGCCTACCCGGCTAACGGCTGGCAACGACTTGCGTGGCAACAACGCACTCCCCAGTACAATGATTCGGAGAAAATCCGAGGAAGAAGAGGCCGCGAAGACCTAATGTGAAGCACATACCCGAACCAATGACCAAACTATACCCCTTGTGAAATGTTGGAAACCCGACCTTACAGAAGATGGTATACCTGAATTGAGCCCAACACTCGCGTCGTCAATCCCCATTGAACACCCGTGAAATTACCTCTTGAACTTACTACTCACCTCGTTGATAGCTAGGACTTGACCGTGAGCCTTCTTCACTCTACGCAGCTGACTCAAGAAATACCTGCGGATACAACACAAGAGAGTGGAGGGGAGAAGGGGGGGAAGGGGAGATGGAGCGACAGTCTGAAACTCACGCCAACACTTATAACTGAATTTGATTTGCGAATCAGCAAACTATTCGGCTGAAGAGGTTTCATAAAAGGTGCATGAAACGGAATGTCGCGACTTCAGCAGCTTGGGACGTTCCAAAGGTGTCTCAAATCGAAATCCAGCTACGATCTATTCTTCATAAGCCATCGACCGCTTCCGCCAAAGGCTACGCCAGGGTCCAACCAGTGGCTGGCCGCGAGAAACGTCAAGAGCTACGCGGACTCAACGCGGTAGGTGCTCGGCCCACACGGGCGACGCGAATCGGAGCAAGCTGATCGAAATAAAACGTCTCATCTACGGCGGGGTTGCTACAGAGATGGATCGGCGCTAGGCTAACAAGAAACCATGGCGTCCCAAGAACATTACTGCGACACGGTACGACATAGCCCTAACTTCCGCCGCGCGAAGCTGCTCTCGACCAACCCACTCTGCACATCCAGCCTCCCAGCTCTCAGCTCGCTAGGATTCCTCTCAAAAGTCAAGCTCCCCCAGCCCCCATGCTCCACAACAGCCTTCTCCGCCTCCTTCCCCCTTCTCCGATTGGCATTTCACGTTCTAGTCTACACGCCAGCTCGCACGCCGATCCCAGGCAGTCCTAGCGCGCCACGCCAATCCATCCGCCAACCGACAGCTGCGACGAGCGTCTCGACTGCATCAACACTGTGCGCACCCCACCAGCGCCACTGGACTCCGTCTCCGTCTCAGCACATCGTATCGCGCTTGCCCGCGTTGACCACTCACCAGAACTTGCTCTTGGCGCGCACTTGGTCGATGGCCCACAGCTTCATGCGGTAGATCTTGGGCGTGGGGTCGTTGGGGCTCGGGTTCATGCGCCCCACCACATGGTACTGGTGGAACTGCACGCACCGCACGGCGCGGCAAGGGGGAAGGGGGGAGGACAAACCGGGGGGAAGAGGGGGTGGGGACGGGAAAAGGGGGGAAGGGGGGAGGAGAGGGGGAACGGGGCGGGGAGGAGGGGAGAAGATGGGGCGGCGTGGCGAAGGAGGGTTGTCATGACGAATAAGACGGCGACGTGGTGCCGGTGGAGCGCTAAGAGACCGTAGGGGAGGAATGAGGCGAAAGGGCTAACGGATGGTGCGGCTCCTCTGGAGGTTCGTGACACCGTATCGCGCGAAACGGCGCGTAATGCAAGCAGGATGAACGCGAACGATATCGTCGTAAACTCAAGTGCCTCAGAATTTCCATAACGGTGCGCGCTTCAGCATCCCGAGAGCAGGACGAGGGAGGAAAACCTAGGCTTAGAAACAATTGTTAACTAAGGAAAATTGCCGGTGCTAACAGGAGGCAGCTACAACCGTTGGGAGCTGAATCCGATACGGTCAGCAAGGTACATCGTAACGACGACGGATTAGGCGACGCGTAATAAAAGGTACTATTGGAATACGCACCCGGTACTTCACCATGGTTGCAAGGGGGGTCTGTTCAACAAGGAGGAGGAGAGGAGGAGGAGAAAAGGAACGGAGACTAGGTGAAGGGAGAAACTTGATGGGCCACACCAAGCAGGTGTAGTGGCAGGCAAGGTGGGAGGACTGGGCAGCTGCAAGGGAGAGATGAAGTGAGGAGAGTTGTGGTGGGAGGCAAGGCGAGCCGAGGCGGGGTAAGGTTGGGGAGGGAGGGGAGCGGAGAGTGCTGGGGGAAAAGTGGGCGAGGGGAAGAATTGATGCTGGCGGATGTGGTGGAGTGAAGCGGAAAGAAAGTGGGCGGAGCGGGGAAGAATTAGGGTTGTGGCGGGAGGTGGGGTGGGGTAGGTGTAGGTGCAAGTGTTTCCTGGAGGGGGGAAACTGCGATGACGCTTTTGGGATTCGCTCATGCCCTGCCGAGGAGTTAACCTTTCAATTCAACTCGATATCTCGTACCCGTTTTGTTTGAAGCTGCGTGGTTTATATTTTACACTTCGATGTAGTAACGAATCATTCTGTTCAAGCCCATTTGTCGCAGTGTCTTGGTTGTCAGAACTGAGTGTCCAGGCGGCACATGCTGCCTAGCCAGGAGCTCCTAAATATTCGAACGACAACGACAGACGTCGATGCCTCGTCCACGCGCTCAGTCGAAGATAGTGTTTTCAACAAAGCCTCGCGGCCCATTCGCGGCGCGTCGCAGCGCCACAGCGCGGAACCTCTTCGTTTTTCTCTTCGTTTCGGCTCTGGTGGGATTAGTGATTTTCGCTCAACGCCGCATTTTGAGTGAAGTGCCGACACGAGCACAAGAGCTCCCGTTAAAGTCACGTCTCTCAACCGATACTGCACCAAGGTCTGTAGGTTCTACATCTGTGAAATCGAGCAGCATCCAGCCAGGCAGCGACGAGTTCAGCAGCTCCTCCTCTTCCCTCCAACCGCATTCCGCCCATTATCATCCCCTCCATCTCCGGAGCCTCTTACCCGCCGATTTTTTCGCCCCTCGCGTCCCGCCCACCGTTTATCCGCGTTCTGCCGACCCGCACTTCCCGCAATCTGCGGCAAATCCTCAAAATGACACCAACACAGCCAGCCTCGGCAGGGAGCAAAATCGCGCGCGCAAGCACCGCCGCCGCCGCCGCCGACGACGCATTGGCGGCGGGCGCAAAAGCGGGTTGTGTATTGCGATCGCGTCTTCCCCGCGCCCGGATCCGCGGATGATCCGCGCGCCGTGGTTCACCGTCACGAACCTGCTCAAGGCGCTCGACGCCAGGCGCGCGGGGGCGCGGCCGCGCGGGCCGAAGAATTGGCGCGCATTCGCGGAGAGGGGCGCGGGGCTGTTCGACCGGGCCATGCGCGTTGTGGTGTACAGCGGGGGATGCCACGTGCGGGATGTGCGGAAGATGGCGGAACAGGTGGCGGAGGGAGAGGAGGGGAAGAAAGAGAAGGATGGACACGATAGCGGGTCTGTGAGTGGGGTCGAGCGGAACAAACGTGCAGGGGAAGAGAAAGGTGCATCTTCTTCCTCCTCCACCACCACCTCCTCCCCTCCTCGCTTCCACATCCCAGCCTCCTACGATCTCGCTGCTCACCGCCTCACCCGTGCCACCAACGTTTCTCTCGCCTCCACGCGCGCCCTCGTCGCCACACTCGCCACCGCCGCGCGCCTCAACCCGCTCGCTGACCCCCACACCGCCGCCATCCGCGCCACTTCCGCTGCCCTCGCCCTCCCCATCGACATCCTACCCGCACACCCGGCCATCTGCGCCCTCCTAGACGACCCACTTCTGCTACTTAACAAAGTGTCGGCGGGAGTGGTGGAGAGCGAGGGGTGGGAGCGGTGGCGGTGGCATGTGAAGCTGGCGATGGACACGGTGCACGTGGTAAGGCAGTGCGCGCACACGGGCGCGCGCATGGTGCTGCTGCTGCAGGATGACGTGGTGCCAGCGTGGCAGTGGGACGTGGGGTTGGAGCGGTTCGTTGCCGTGGACCTGCCACGAGTGGTGGGCGCACGGGAGAGAGCAGAGGAAGAGGGGAGAGAGAGGAAGAGGGGAAGGGACGGGACGCAGGAGGGGGGACAGGGGAGGGAGCAGGAGAGGGAGGAGGAGAAGGCGCAGGAGAGCAAGAACGGGAGGTTGGGAGCGGTTGAGAGTGGCAATAAGGGCCGTGGCTCGCACTCGAGATACCCTGTCTGGGACGTGCTGTCGCTGTACTACCCACAGACGTACGGGTGGAAGCTGGCCCACGGGGCGGAATACCCAGTCCCTTGCTGCGCCCAGGCGCTGCTGCTGAACGCGTCCACCGTGGGCGGGCTGCTGGCGCACGTGGAGGCGGGGCTCATGCGCGCCCCCCTCGACCTCCTCATCCATGAGTACCTCCTCTCTGGTGCTGTCCGGGAAAACGGTGGTGGGAGTGCCGCAGGGGAGGATGGTGGTGGCAGTGGAGGCGGTGGTAATGGTGGTGGTGGTGGTGGTGGTGGTGGGGGTGGTGGGGATGGTGGTGAGGGGCGTCGCCCGCGGGCGTATGTGCACATCCCGTCGCTCTTCCAGCACATTGGGGTGGTGAGGACGAATGTGCTCAAGGGGAATCAGGGCCATCAAGACAGGCGGTTCCGACCGGACTATGTGGAGGAGCCGTATAGGAGTGTGGAGGAGGTGAGGGATGAGTGGAGGAGGAAGGAGGAGAAGGAAAAGGAGGAGCGAGAGATGATAAGAAAAAGGGCTGCTAGGATACGAAAGAAGAGCCGTACACAGTCAACAGGTGGAATGGTGGCTGGTGGTGCTACGATATAGGTGGTGCTCTGCAGGAACTGAGTTGGTGAAAAGTTGGCACAGATGTTGATTTCTCAACGTGGATACGCCAGCCGGTCCATGTGGAAGTTCCAAAAGCGAAACAAGCATTTTCCAGCTCGTAAAAAGGTCAACATGGTCCATCCCCTTTGCTTCGAAGACTTCACGGGGCTCCCATTGGTTATAATCCACTTTCGTTAGTATATGGTGTAGTTCGCAACATGAATGCCGTTGGAGTGTACAGCGTATGATACATTATCGGAGACCTTCCGTTGGACCTTCAAAGTCAAAGTTGCGGAAGTGGGTACGACACATGCACGAAGGTCTAGGGTTTCGCCAGCCGTCGCCTGTACGGCACTCAAGCGTCGCCCGCAATCACACGCCACATGTAACGTGTTACGTGAACCTAGAGATCGTCCAGGGCAAGGCAATGAAAGGGATGCAGCGCGAATGGCAGAACCTGTGTGAGTCAGAGATTACTTCTTGTTGTGTGCTCCGATATCGCCCACGAGTCTTGAGCTGCGCTACAGTGGAGTGCACCAGAGAAAGGGGCTTGGATTGGATTCAGTCCTGTCCTTGTATGGCCGTCCGTCACCAGTATTTGACTGACCTCGTTGCGAGGAGCCAGTGTGATTGACGATTCCGCAGAACTGTCGACCCGCAGACCTAGTTGCTAGTGAACCAGCGCCAGATTTCGCCAGCGAGATTAGTGACTGCAACGGAATAAGGCTTAGAAATCTGACGCTTGACATACCTTTTCCCGCGGAATAAGGCTAGATCCTGGTTTTGCCGAGTACCACAGTGCTCCAGAGGAATAAGGCAATCTCAAGTTAGCGACCTAGTTTTTTTGCTTCGCTCCGTTTAGCATTTCTTGCAGGAGTATTTCCAGTTCACAGCCGACCGCTTCCTTCTTGTACCCGCAGTATCCTCGATCGGGAATTTGCTATAAGAAGCGGCGCTTCATCCCTATATAGGTTTATTTTTTTTGTTTCGCATTCCGGCTAATTAAAATGTCGGACAGCGAGGAGGACTACTACCAGGACTCGGAGGAGGAGGAGCAGGTGGACGACTCGGACGACGACGAGGACTATGGCTTCGACGACCCCGACGTTGACGATGACGATCCCGTTCTGCGACCCAGACAGGTGGGGATGCGGCCTGTTTAATGTGTGTTAATAGGCGAATTTTCCGAGTCTCTTTTGAGACTAGGGACAACTCGGGACCGACGAGGATTATGGCTTCGACGATCCAGACGTTGATGAGGACGATTCCGTGCTGCGACTCAGATAGGTGCGGCTAGAACCAATTTAGAATTCTTCAGTGGCCGAATTTCGATTCCGGTGGCCCGGCGTTTTCGCCTCCTGACGCTAGTTATTCAAGAAATTAGTCCGTCGTGGCTTTTATTTCCGACGTTCTTAATCGTATTAACCACCACCTCGCAGACGCATATGGGAACGGCAGGCCCTTTGTGCTCCTTCTCCGTATTTTTCATCATATGCGAATTCGAAGTCTCCAATACACGGAGCAGGTGCGGTACAAGATTCTGTCGGAGAAGGACATTCTGCAGCGGCAGCAGGAGGCTTTTGGGTCGACTCAAAAAACGGCAGCCCGTTGTGCTCCTTCCTATTTCCCATCATTTGCGAAATGGACTCTGTAATACACGACGCAGGTGCGGTACAAGATTCTGTCGGAGAAGGACATTCTGCAGCGGCAGCAGGAGGCCACCGGCGACGTGGCGACGGTCCTCTCCATCCCGCTCGACGACGCCGCCATCCTGCTCCGCCACTTCAAATGGTCAGTGTCTGAAATCGTCAGAATTTTCAAGTGGTAGTCACTTGATGATTAGTCACCTGAGTTGTCAGTTACGAAAGTCATAAGTTACTTGAAGTGCCAGTTGAAATGTCAGTCACTTTAGATACGATGAGGCCTTCGAACGGGCAGTCAGTCCCTGTCAGTGGTGTTCTAATCAGTCTGTCGGGTCGGGTCAAGTGGTCAGTCTCCTAAGTGGTGAGGCTTGCTGAATCTCGAATGGTGAGTTCCGTAAAGCAAAAACCTTATTTGTTCAGGAAAAATAGCAAGTGCATGGGGTGAGGACCGCGTGAGGAGGAAGATGACTGATGGGGTGCCTCAGAGTCCACATCTCCAATTTAGCAAGAGCATCCTATTATATTCCGTCCTGACATGCTTCCCTGCTCATGCCTCCCAGGAGCGTGAGTCAGGTGAACGACGAGTGGTTTCAGGACGAGGACCGCGTGAGGAAGGCCGTGGGGCTGCCGCGCCCGCACTCCCCCTCCTCCTCCTCCGCCTCCGACCGCCGCCCTGGCAAAGAGCCCGAGGTGAGGTGTTGTTGTGCTGCTGTGGGGTGGAATGGAGGGCGTGAGGGGGCGAGGTGAGCAAGAGGAGGAAGCGTGGTGAGTGAGGTAGTGCACTCCCCCGCACTCCCCCTTCTCCTCCTCCACCTCCGAGCGCCGCCCCGGCAAAGAGCCCGAGGTGAGGCTCTGCTATGCTGTGGGGTGGAATGGAGGGGAGGGAGGGCAGGGATGGGTGTGAAGAAAACGGGGAAAGGGGAGGAAGGGGAGCGAGGGTAGCAATTGGTTAGTGAGGGGAGCAGAGGCACCGCGTCAGGTTTGGTGCCGCTGTGTTGGCTGTGGGCTTTGTGGTACTCTGTACGGGTGTTGCATGGCCGGTGCATCGCTGGTGGATAGATGGTTTCTGGTTGATGGTTTATGGTTGATATATGTATGGTGATGGATGGATGACTGGTCTGGTGGATAGATGGCGGATGACTGATGGTTAGATGGCGGATGGATGGTGGATGGATGGTGCATGTATTGCTGGTGGATAGTGCATGCATGGTGGTGAATGGTGCATGCATGGTGGTGAATGGTGCATGCATGGTGGTGAATGGTGCATGCATGGTGGTGAATGGTGCATAGACTCTGTTCTCGTTCCCACCACGTGCCCTGCAGTGAGTCATCCCTCCCTTTGCCCGTCCCCATGCCCCTGTCGTCTCCCCTCACCACCTGTCTTGTTCAGCCGCACCTGACGTGCAGCATCTGCCTGTTAAGGCCCCTCGCTATTCCCCTTCCCCATGTCCACCCCCCCCCCCGCTCCCTGCCTGTGCATGCAGCCGCATCTGACATGCGGCATCTGCTTTGAGACCTACCTCACCGCAGGCGGCCATGAAGCCCGTTGAGCTACTGCTTGTTAGAGTTCTAGCCCCTTCCCCATGCCCCCCTTCGTTTCCCCCTCCCCTGTCCCCTGCACTTCTTGCCAGCCGCACCTGACGTGCGGCATCTGCTTTGAGAGCTACCCGCAGGCCGCCATGAAGCCCGCCGAGTGCTTCGACCACTTCTTCTGTGACGCCTGCTGGCAAGGTCAGTGCTGTGTGCTGCTGGCAAGGTCAGTGCTGTGTGCTGCTGACAAGGTCAGTGCTGTGTGCTGCTGGCAAGGTCAGTGCTGTGTGCTGCTGGCAAGGTCAGTGCTGTGTGCTGCTGGCAAGGTCAGTGCTATGTGCTGCTGGCAAGGTCAGTGCTGTGTGCTGCTGACGCGGTGCATGGTGCGAGGTGCAGCCTGCTAACGAGGTGCAGCCTGCTAACGAGGTGCAGCCTGCTAACGAGGTGCAGCCTGCTAACGAGGTGCAGCCTGCTAACGAGGTGCAGCCTGCTAACGAGGTGCAGCCTTCTAACGAGGTGCAGCCTGCTGGCGAGGTGGGTGGGGCGGGTCTGGCGGGGTGGGTAATACTAGGAGTAATCATCATCAACATCCACAAACAACCCGTTCTTCCTGCCTCACTCCTTCCTTCCTTCGATTTCTTTCCTTCTTCTTTTTACTTCCCCCTCTCTGCTCACGCCCGCTCCCACTCTCTCTGCTACCCGTGCTCCCCCTCTCTCTGCTCCATCCCACTCCCTCTCGCTCCCCCCTCCCCCCTTCCCCTCCTCACAGGCTACGCCAAGGCAGCGGTGGCGGACGGGCCGGGGTGCCTCTGCTTGCACTGCCCGGACCCCTCGTGTGGCGCAGCGGTGGGGAAGAAGGGAGGGCATGAACGCTGTGCCTCACCACTCCCCTCCTCCCCCCCATCCCTCCCCTCCCCCTCCCCCAGGGTACGCCAAGGCAGCAGTAGCGGGCGGGCCGGGGTGCCTGTGCCTGCGCTGCGGCCCCTCGTGTGGCAGGTGGGGGTGTCAGGATGTTTGTCTGAGCCTGCACGCTACTTCTCTCCCCCCTTCCCCTCCTCCAGGCTACGCCAAGGCGGCTGTTGCGGACGGGCCGGGGTGCCTGTGCCTGCGCTGTCCGGACCCGTCGTGTGGAGCAGCGGTGGGGGAGAAGCTTGTGCTCTCGTCGCTGCCGGACGCCCTGCGCGCCAAGTACCTCAAGTACCTGCTGCGCTCCTACGTGGATGACAACCGCAATGTGAGCTGGATGGCGTGTTTGGTGTCTAGTGGTGCAAAGGGTATAAGGGTGACTAGGTGCAGTGCTGCAGCCCTGCGTACCAAGTACCTCAAGTACCTGCTGCGCTCCTACGTGGATGACAACCGCAATGTGAGTGTGGTGACTGGCTTGCTCACGTGAGTGTTGCTCTCATGTGTGATGTGGAGTTGAGTTGAACGGCTTCCACAGGCCTTGTTGTGTTGTGAGGCTGAAAGGGCTGAAAGGGCTGCCAGACACCCTGCCCTGCGCGCCAAGTACCTCAAGTGCCTGCTGCGCTCCTATGTGGATGATAAACGCAATGTGAGTGCGACAGTTGTTGCAATGTGAGGGCTGTGCGGTGCTGTGCTGTGCTGTGCTGTGCTGTGCTGTGCTGTGCTGTGCTGTGCTGTGCTGTGCTGTGCTGTGCTGTGCTGTGCTGTGCTGTGCTGTGCTGTGCTGTGCGGTGCGGTGCTGTGCTGTGCTGGGCTGTGCTGGGCTGTGCTGGGCTGTGCTGGGTTGGGTTGGTTCACTTTCATGCTGTACCCATTCGACTGGTCTTTGGAGTGAACCCTGTACCCTCTGCAAGGAACGCATTCGACTGGTCTTTGGAGTGAACCCTGTACCCTCTGCAAGGAACGCATTCGACTGGTCTCTCAACTTAAAACGCCTTTGCCACTCTCCCTCTCCTCCAAACAACTCCCTCTTTCCATCCCGTTTCCCTTCCCTTACGGCTGGCTCAGGCCAAGGGGTTGTGAGTATGTCTTTTTTTTCTTTTCCTTCGGCCCCCCCTTTCTCCCCCCTTCCCACCCTCGGGCAAAGTGGTGCCCTGCCCCCTGGGTGTCGTGTTTTGAGTCGACTCAAAGTACGCCTCATTTCCCGCTCCACCCTTCCACCCTCCCTGTTTCCTCCTCCTGCTGCTGCTGTCCACCCACAGGCCAAGTGGTGCCCCGCGCCAGGCTGTGAGTACGCGGTGGAGTATCTACCGGACTCAACGCACTACGACGTCATCTGCAAGTGCAGCTTCGCCTTCTGCTGGAATGTCAGTCCGCACTTGCCCTTCTACAACGCACTTGCCCTGCCCTGCTCTGACTTGCCCTACCCTGCTCTGACTTGCCCTACCCTGCTCTGACTTGCCCTGCTCTGCTCTGACCTGCCCTGCCCTGCCCTGCCCTGCCCTGCCCTGCTCTGACCTGCCCTGCCCTGCCCTGCCCTGCTCTGACCTGCCCTGCCCTGCCCTCTCCTGCTCTGCCCTCCTTCGCCCCGCTCTCTCCTGCTCCGTCCTTTCCCTGCAACTACTCTCTTGCACCGCAAATCTTTCCTGCACCATCCCACGCCCGTTTCATGTTCCGCTGCTGACAACGTTTAATTGAGGAGCTCTCCCTTTCCACCAGAATTCCCTCTCATTCACCGCCTGGCCCTGCGTTCCCTCTCATTCACCGCCTGGCCCTGCCTTCCCTCTCATTCACCGCCTGGCCCTGCCTTCCCTCCGGTCATCGCCCGGCAGTGTTTGGAGGAGGCGCATCGGCCAGTGGACTGTGAGACGGTGGGCAAGTGGATTCTCAAGAACAGTGCCGAGTCAGAAAACATGAACTGGTATGAATGAGGCATCAATCAAGGAGTATCGGCCTTGCTTGCTCCTTATGTTCTTCACCTCTCCCCCTCCCCCCCCCCCCCCCCCCCCCCCTCTTTTCGTTTTTGGCTATTGGGAGTGAGACTTCTGTCCTGTGCTGTCCTCCTTCCCTCGTACTCTCCACCCACACCTGCTCTTTGAATTGATCCTCCTCAACGCGTGCGTGGCTGGCAGGATTCTGGCGAACTCCAAGTCGTGTCCCAAGTGCAAGCGGCCCATCGAGAAGAACCAGGGCTGCATGCACATGACCTGCACGCCGCCTTGCAAATACGAGTTCTGCTGGTGGGTCCCTCCCCTCGCCCCGCTCTGCTCTGCTCTGCTCTGCTCTGCTCTTCTCTGCTCTGCTCTGCTCTGCTCTGCTCTCCTCTGCTCTCCTCTGCTCTCCTCTGCTCTGCTCTTCTCTCCTCTGCTCTGCTCTGCTCTGCTCTGCTCTCCTCTCCTCTCCTCTCCTCTCCTCTCCTCTCCTCTCCTCTCCTCTCCTCTCCTCTCCTCTGCTCTGCTCTGCTCTGCTCTGCTCTGCTCTGCTCTGCTCTGCTCTGCTCTGCTCTGCTCTGCTCTGCTCTGCTCTGCTCTGCTCTGCTCTGCTCTGCTCTGCTCTGCTCTGCTCTGCTCTTCTCGCATATTGTGGCATGTAATGCTCAGATGGTTGAAGGCATGTAATGCTCAGATGGTTGAAGGCATGTAATGCTCAGATGGTTGAAGGCGTGTGTGGTGTGGTTGGAGTGAGGGGGGCAGAGGGGCATGCGGGAAGGGGTTCTGCTGCTCTCTGCCTCCTCAAGCGCCTGTGATGCTCCTGTGCCTCCTCAAACGCCTGTGATGCTCCTGTGCCTCCTCAAGCGCCTGTGATGCTCCTGTGCCTCCTCGTTCTCGCTGCTGAGCTGCTGCCTGTTTCTAGACCCTGCAACGTTTCTCCTGTGCTTATCCCCGCCGTCACCCTCCCCTTCACCGTCCTCCTCACCGTGCCATCTGGCCAGGCTGTGTCTAGGGGCGTGGTCGGAGCACGGGGAGAAGACGGGTGGATTCTACGCGTGCAACCGATACGAGTCCGCCAAGCACGAGGGCGTGGTGAGCTTACCTTACCTCCCCTATGAACACATTACCCATCCCCCGCCACCACGCAACGGTCTTCGCCTTCCTCCTCCCTCCCCCTGTCTGTCTGCCAGACAGCGCCTTTGCCTTAGGAGACCTTCTGCTGAGCTCTGAGTCTTCCTGCTCCCCTTGTGTAATGCACGCTCTCTCTCTCTCTTGTGCCCACCTCACCTCACCTCACCTCACCTCACCTCACCTCAAGTGCAATTTTCGAGACGTCTCAGAACACTTCTTCAATCATGCACGCTCTCTCTCTCTCTTGTGCCCACCTCCCCTTAAGTGCAATTTCCCAATCGTCATCCCATGGAATGGATTGTACTATCATCACCATCTCCCTGCTTGCACTCTCTCCCGTTCGTCCGTACTGCCCCTCTGATTGGCTGTGGTGCGGGCAGTACGACGAGACGGAGAGGCGGAGGGAGATGGCGAAGAACTCACTGGAGAAGTACACGCACTACTACGAGCGCTGGGCTGCCAACGAACAGGTGGGGCAAGGGAGGGGGGAACAAGCAGGTGCGGGGAAGGAACGATACAGAGTAGGTGAGGTGAGGAGAAGTACACGCACTACTACGAGCACTGGCTGCCAATGAGCAGGTGGGGCAAGGATGGGAGGGGGGTATGAGAGGGGTGGGGGAGTGGGGTGGGGGGGTGATGGCGAAGAAAAGAACTCACTGGAGAAGTGCACGCACTACTATGAGCGCTGGGCTGCCAATGAGCAGGTTTGCTCGCAACTTTTTTTAGGGAGGTGGAGTGTGGGGTATGAGAGGAGTGGGGGAATGGGGGAATGGGGGGCAGATGGCGAAGAACTCACTGGAGAAGTGCACCCACTACTACGAGCGCTGGGCCGCTAATGAGCAGGTGGGGACAGAGTGCATAGGATGGGAGGGATGTACAACAAGTAGGTGTGGGCACTCAACGATGTTGAGAAGGAGTAGCAGTGAAGTGAAGTGCACCCATTACTACGAGCGCTGGCTGGCTGCCAACGAACTTGTGGGGCAAGAGGGGGTGCGCATTTCAAAGTCTCTTTGACTGACGCATCGCCAAGGAGTCTCTATGGCAGCCGCACTGTCAAGAGAAACTCGTCGATCTCCATGAGGACCACCTCCGTGTAGTAAAAGGTGAAGAAACTAGAAGAGACTAGGCGGAGGTGGTTTCTATGCAGATTGAAGAGCCTTTCCCGACAGTGTAGCTGCCATAGGGACTCCTTGACGACGCGATTACGAGATTTGAAACGCATGCCATGTGCGGATTACGTCGCCCCAGAGGAGGGTGAGGAGAATAGGGTGTTTGGGTGCTTTCTGATGAGTTTTAGTAGATGGATTAGGGTGTGTGCGTGGTGGACTGGTTGTGTGTGGGAGCTCACAAGTTAATTATTGGAATAATTCCAATTGTTTTAGTTTTTTCGACTTCATTCTGGAATTGTTTGGTATTTCGCCACCTATATCCCATTTTTACCCTCTCCCCCCTCTGCCCTCCCCCCTCCCCCCTTCCCCCCCCCCCCCCCCCCCCCCCGCTTTTTTAACCTAAGCCCGAAAAAAAATTCTGCCTCGCTTAAGTCAAGCATACATTTAGCGTCCGGGCCTAGAAATTAAAGCGGCCAGCATATATACCCTTCCATGTCCACTTAGCTTGCACTGGTGCTGCGGTCTGGATGGCTACACATTGTCAGACCTGTTTTTGAGAAAGACCAGTGTGAGGGGATTTGTGGGTCAACCTTTGCAAGGGTGAAGATACAGGGTTTTTTTTTCCAGTCTTGTCTGGTTGATTTCTGCTATAACCTCCCACCATATTTGTCCAAATGACTGTCCCACGCCACCGCCTCCCTGGATGCAAGTCTACCCACATAATGCATATACACATGCTTTTTCTCTCTCCCTCTCTCTCTCTCCACACTCCACCCCCCTCCCCCCCCTTTCCCCACCCCCTTGCAATGTGCTGCCCCTCCAGTCGAGAGTAAAGGCGCTCGAGTCGTTGCGCGAGATGCAAACAGTCAAGGTACTTCCACTCACTCACTGGGTGAATGGGGGCGGGGTGAATGGGTGCGGGGTGAATGGGGGCGGGGTGAATGGGGCAGTCTGTGTGTTGCAGGGTGGTTCCCATACCGCCTCTCTTTGTTTTCTCTTTTTTTGGTGGGTAGTTCGTCTAAGCTCGTGGTGTGCCTGACTCCTGATGGTTTCTTCCCTTTTTGTTATTGCGTGGTGTGTTGCGTTACCTTCCATCGCGGCGTGTTGTGGGGTGTGCATGGGGGTGTGTATCGCCATGGCAGATAGAGCAACTGAGTGAGCGCCACAGCCAGCCCGTCTCGCAACTCAAGTTCGTCATCGATGCATGGCTGCAGGTGAGTCATCGATGCATGGCTGCAGGTGAGTCATCGATGCATGGCTGCAGGTGAGTCATCGATGCATGGCTACAGGTGAGGAGGGGTTCGGTGCGGAAGTGGTAATCTCTCCAGAACGATTCCGTTCCACATCAATCCCCTGCACTCTCTTGCTTCCTTCTCCCCTCCACCGCTTCCTCGCCAGGCGGTGGAGTGCAGGCGGGTGCTCAAGTTGACATACGCGTATGGCTGCTACCTGCCAGAGGCATAAGTGGTCGTGGCAACCCTCTGCATCCCCTTGCTTATCTCCCTCCCACTGTGCTTCCTTACCCTCCTCGCCACACCAGGTGGTGGAGTGTCGCAGAGTCCTCAAGTGGGCATGCGCGTATGGCTACCACCTGCCCAATGCGGAGGTGGCCTTTTGAACCATCTGCACTCTTTCTTCCCTCCCCCTCTCTCCCCTCTTCATTAGGTGGTGGAGTGCCTTTGGGTCCTCAAGTGGACGTATGCGTATGGCTACTACCTGCCGGCCGGAGGCCGAGGTGACAATGCCAAATTTCTGCACTCTCCTCATCCCTTCCCCGCCTCCCCTCCGTTCTCCCTCCTCACCAGGTGGTGGAGTGCAGGCGAGTCCTCAAGTGGACGTACGCGTACGGCTGCTACCTGCCAGAAGCAGAGGTGGTCACATGATCGCTCTACACCCCCTTGCTCCCTCTCTCCTTTCATCACCAGGTGGTGGAGTGTTGCAGAGTCCTCAAGTGGACGTACGCGTATGGCTACTACCTGCCAGAGGCGGAGGTGGCTCGTTGGCAGCTCTTTGAGTACCTGCAGGGCGAGGCGGACGCTGCTTTATGTGCCACATCTGACCCTCTTCACTCCTTGGCTCCATTCCATTTGCCCTTCCCCCTGGCGGTCACGTGCAGGTGGTGGAGTGCAGGCGAGTGCTCAAGTGGACGTACGCGTACGGCTACTACCTGCCAGAGGCGGAGGTGGCCATTTGAACCCTCTGCACCCACATGCTTCCCCCCCGCCACACCAGGTGGTGGAGTGCAGGCGAGTGCTCAAGTGGACGTACGCGTATGGCTACTACCTGCCGGAGGCGGAGGTGGCGCGGCGGCAGTTCTTTGAGTACCTGCAGGGCGAGGCGGACGCGGCGCTGGAGAATCTGCACAAGATGGCCGAGAAGGAGCTCGAGCTCTACATCTGTGACGACGGGGACCCGCCCCCCACTTCCTTCAATGACTTTCGGTCACGACTGGCGGGGCTCACCAGGTGAGAGCGGTGCGGGTTAGTGAGCAGTATGCGGTGTGTGAAGAAAGCAGGGGCAGATGGGGCACGGGAGCACAAGATGGCCGAGAAGTAGCTCGAGCTCTACATCTGTGATGACGGGGACCCGCCGCCCACCTCGTTCAATGACTTCCGGTCACGACTGGCGGGGCTCACGAGGTGAGAGAGATGGGGTAGTAAGCAGAGGTTGGTTAGTGGATGTGCAAGTGTGAGATCATTTGCACAAGATGGTGGAGGAACAGCTCGACCTCTACATCTGCGATGATGGGGACCCGCCCACCTCGTTCAACAACTTCCGCTGGCGACTGGCAGGATTGACCAGGTTAGTGGGAAGGGGTGGTATGCAATGTGGACGGGTGGGAATTGGTATGGTGAAGCTGGTTAGGTTAGAAGGCTGTGGTAGGTGGCTTTTGAGATGTTTCCAAGGATGGTTGCATGTTTCAGTGAGACAATTGTTCAGGCGCCGATTACTGTCTGGGTGAGAAGAGGAAAGTGACAAGGGGATAAGAAAAAAATTAACAGGGGAGATGGGTTGTGTGGCCATCGCACTCACCAACCCAGCACTGCCTCCATCCCCCCCTCCCTTCCCCCCTCCCTCCTTTCCACCTTCTTTCCCCACCAGTGTGACACACACATACTTTGAGAACCTAGTGAGAGCGCTCGAGAACGGCCTGGCAGACGTCGAGAACGCCTCTACAGCCGCCTCCTCCACACGTGCCGCTGCTGCCGCCGCAGCAGCAGCAGCGGGGCGAGCCATCGCCAGCACGTCGCGCATCTCCCAGTCCCGCTTCGGCGCCCGCACCCGCTCCCGCACCACTGCCGCTTCCGCCGCCGCTGCTTCCACCTCTGCTGCTGGCTCGTCTGCTGCAGGCCCTAGTGGTTCGTCTGCGGGAGCAGCAGCGGCGGGTGGTGGGGGTGGTGCGGGGTCGAGCCGCGGGAGTATTTTCCGGTCGTCGTCGTCTCAAGCGGCCGCTGCGGCGGCGGCAGCGGCGGTGACGGTGGGGAATACGGCAGGGAGGGAGCGGGAAGAGACGGCGTATTGGTCGTGTGAGCACTGCACGTATGCAAACCCGTTGCCTGGCCGGGCGTGTGCCATGTGCCATCTGCCACGCAGCACCCGATGATGGGGGGATTGCGGTTGGCTGGGCGGGGCTGGGTTGTGCCGTGTGTAGCATTTGAAGCTTGATGTAATAGTGCTAACAGGACGGTGTAGCTTAATCTGCCTTGATCTGTAATGTGTCTTTGTTCCGCATTTGGAAAGCCAAGCACTAGGCGATTCTCTGTGATAATGCTTGCTAATTGCAAGATGGAATTCGTGGCCGTTCTTTGGATTAAGATATGATTCATGGTGTAGCATCATTGAATAATGCACACTACGCGCCATCGCGCATTGACAATACAAAAGGTTTCCCGTCAGCGTGTCGACCTCCCATTTGCTGGGATGCAGAGCGAACGAGGGCCAGTCGTCGTCTCTTCAACTTTCACAGAAATACGCGGCTCGTTCTTCCTCCCATTCATTCACGTTTCGGTCGGTCGCGTTTGTGGTTCAGCTCGTTTGTTTACGGGTCGGTCTGCCCTGAGAAACTTTCTGACTGTTTCTCGTCAGTACTTCCGTCTACTGCACGCGAATTTACATCTGCGCCGTCATCTCCTCACAAATAACGACGACAGATGAACGTCCCAGACGACCCGTCCGCTTGCAGTTCCGTCTTCCATGCCACGCCAGTGCACCTGAACACACGATATGCGCTCTGCTTGTCTGCTGCCATGCATTGCATCTTCGCTCTGCAGCAGCATGATTTGACTTGAGTGCGATGCTGAGAGCATACTGTACTTCTGTTGCGCGTCTCACTCTCTCGACTTAGCTGCTGTGCATAGCTCCGGTCGAGCCCAGAGTGGGGTTGGCAGTCAAGTAGCGCCTCACCGTTTTCTGTAACCTGTTTGGCGTCGCTTTCTTTTCCGATTCCCACCTCGCTGTAACCACTCCGCCGTTAGCGCCCCCGTTGCGCCGGAACAAAAACCGAAGGAAGGTGGCCGGAGTGATCAAGGGCATCGTAGTTTGGTCGAATTCCAGTTTCGCCCGATGGCTTCTTCGACCAGCCTCTGCAGGCGAAGCGTCAGCTTCAGTTTATTTTCCGGGTCCGCACGACGGACCGATTCCGTTCCGATCACGGATTCCGTCACAGCACGGCCGGTCTCAAACCTCTTCATGTGCGACGGCCTGAGATGCTCGCTAGACGGCAAATCTTCATCCCTAAAAGTCGCAGTGGTTGAGAGACTAAAATCTGTCAAAGCACGAGCAGCGGCGGCAGAAGCAACGGCAGGAGGCGCAACGGGGCCAAGCGTGGTCCCGGAAAGAAAAAGCAGCGAGGCGACAGCAGCGATTCGTCCCGTGGTCATTCTTCCGGTATGCTCCTTGCTCGCATGGCATGCGAGGAAGATGCGAGGACTCCTCCTCGTATCGGATGCACAGTGCGCATCCACCTACGCGCGAATCGCCCATTTGTATAAAGTGAATTTTTTAGACGTCTCAAAAAATCACTTTATACGCGCATCTTCTCCATGTGTTCCTTCTTCGATTGCAACACGCCTTTCGCGTCCTCGCGCCTATCCGCGACCTCGAATTTCTTTTCCGTTATAAGCTGCTCCGCTCACCGTCCATTCGACATCTCCGTGCGTGCCACGTGGCGAGCAGGGATTGGGCAACAACTCGGCGGATTACGCGGAGCTCGTCGCGCTGCTGGAGGCGCAGGGCGTGGCGGCGGAGGTAGCACGCGTGGCGAGACCTGATTGGCTGCGCAACGCAGCGGGGCTTCTGCAGGCAGACTACTGGAAGGGAACGCTCAAGCCCCGCCCGATCCTCGACTGGTGGGTGGGTTGGCAGTGGTGGTGGGTGATGGGTGGGTGGGCTATAGAGGGTGGGGTATGGAGGTTACAAGTCCTTCGATTCGGCCATTCCAGTTGGCTTTGCAGAGAGGATGAGAAGCACTTTTATGGGTGGGTGATGGGTGGGTGATGGGTGGGTGATGGGTGCTTGGGGTATGAATCGGAAGTGCCTATGCAGAGAAGATGAGAAGCGCGGGTGGGCTATGATGTAGAAGTGCCTATGCAGACTCTCGGTCTCTGTGCATCTGTGCATCTGTGCATCTGTGCATCTGTGCCTCTGCGTCCCGTCGTCCCTTTACCCTTCACCCTGTGTCCCTGTCTCTCCATGCCTGTGTTTTGAGATGTCTCAAATTTCCCTGACCCTGTGTCCCTGTCTCTCCTTGCCTGTGTCTGTGTGTTGCCATGTCTCTGTGTGCATGACTGCCTGCGTGGCAGGTACTTGGAGCGGGTGGCAGCAGCGGGGGGGACAGCCAAGAAGAGAGTCTTGGGTCTCTGTGCCTCTTCGTCCTCTCATCCCCGTCCCTATGCCCCTATGTCTCCGTGTCCCTGTTTCTCTTTCTGGCCGTCCCTGTGTGCGCATGACTGCCTGCCTGGCAGGTACTTGGAGCGGGTGGCAGCAGCAGTGAAGGCAGCCAAGAAGAGAGTCCCAGGTATGCCCATGATACCGGGTGACTTTTGAGGCGCCTCAAAAACCTGCGTTGCCGGGTAGCGCTTGTGACGCATGCATTCACTTGCGAGCACCTGTACACATTCCTGTACAGTCGCTCCTTTGCAAGCACTTCCACCCAAGGCACTCTGATACAATACGACCAATCCCTGAGAAGCATTGTATGCCGATGAATTCCTTCCCAAGCACATCCATTCTTGAGAATTGTCAAAAGTCATTCACAAGCTCGTACACACAAGGCACTGTTTTAAAAACCAATCCCTGAGAAGGAAGCCCCGTTCATTCTGCACATCCCAAGCACATGCATTCCCCACGTTCATCCTGCACTCCATCCCACAATGCCCCCCTGTCATCATATCTCACGCTGCTGTTGGCTTTTTTTACAAGGGAGCGCTCTCAGAGTTTTTTCACGCTTCATTCCCCCTCCCTCACCCACTTCATCCTCCCCTGCCAGGCGCCTCGCAGGTGTCACTGGTGGCGCACTCAGCAGGCGGGTGGCTGGCGCGTCTCTACCTCGGGGAGTACGGCCATGCTGACGTGGCGCTGCTGCTCTCCCTCGGCTCGCCGCACCTGTGAGTGTGTGGGGCAGTGCAGCGTGCCATGGCATGGCACGTTGTTGTGACGAAGGCGAGAGTGTGTGCTGCACTTGGGGACGAGTTGCAGCATGTGGACAATGGATGGTGAATTTGAAAAGAAAAGTGTGCAAGCATGCAGCAGCATATCATTGCTGATTCTTCTTCTTCGCTGCCTCCCTTTGCATGTCCGCGGAATCGCACCCTCTCCTCGCCTCGCCTCTACCCCTCCAAATCTTTCTGTGAGCTCTCCTCACCCGTTTTGCTGCCTTTTTCATTTTCTCCATTTCTTCTCCCCCTCCCGGCATCACCTCCCACCAGCCCACCGCCCCCAGGGGCAGAGGGGGTGGTGGATCAGACAAGGGGCCTGCTAACGCACATGCAGGCCGTCTCGCCAGGCGCCTTCCACGCACCGCACGTCAAATACGTCTGCATCTCGGGCAGGTGAGGCTTTCTCGCTCGGGCAGGGCGGTGAGGTTTTCTCTCCTCAGCAGGTGAGGTTTTCTCTCCTCAGCAGCTGACGTTGTCTGCCTAAAACATGTGATTTCTCTTGCGTCTAGACCGTATGCCGTTGTAATACATTCTTTAGGCAGCCCAGAATCTTCTTATTCTGGCTGAAACCGGGTTCTTTTCAATTCGGGAATCTACAAACGTAGTGTGATTCTTCACGGCCTGCATGGATGTTTTTTTACTGTTTCCCTCCTTATTTACCCCTCCCAGCTCCCCTCTACCGTTGTTTTCCCGCTCTCCTCTCAAAATTTCTCAACCTTTCCGCATCATCACTCCACATAGCCACCCACCCTTCTAGCGAGGTGCCTACAGATTATATGCTTTGCTCATCACCTCCTCCGCACCTCTCCACTCACCCACTCACCCACTCATGCAGGTACATCAAGGGTTTACCCCTGTTCAGCAGTGCCGCTGCCACCCCTGTAGCAGACGCAGCAGCCTCTGCACCAGCCTCTGTGGCAGCAGTGGCAGCAGCAGCAGGGGGGGAGGCACGCGTCTTTGCCCTGGATGTGAAACCAGTTAGGGGCGCATCAGCAAAGGCAGGCAGTGAGAGTGAGAGTGAGGGGGGCAGCAGTGGGGCTTCAGATGAAGACGAGGCAGGTGCTGAGAAGCAGGTGGCATCTGGGGGAGGTGTGTTCCAGGCGCGCATGGTGGGGCAGGGGTACAAGCAGGTGTGCGGGCGGGCGGACGTGTGGGGGGACGGAGTCGTGCCGGAAGATGCCGCCCTGCTGGAGGGGGCGGAGAATCTGATCCTGGACGGCGTGTATCACTCGCCTGTGGGGGCCAGTGACGCCCGGCCGTGGTACGGGTCTCCTTCTGTGCTGCCCTCGTGGCAGCACCACCTGTTTGTCTGAGTTGAGATGGCTTCGTTTGAGGCGCCTCCAAAGGCCAGTGAGGCCCGGCCGTGGTACGGGTCTCCCTCCGTGCTGCCCTCGTGGAAGGGAAGCACCACCTGTTTGATTTGGCATACGGTAGATCAAATCGGCTCCCAAGTCATGTTTCAAATTACGGTATTGCAGATTGAGGGTCCATGTCAGGAAAAGAAGGGGCAGAATAGGAAGGGGAGGGACTTTTGAGTATTGAGTGGCAGGCAGTAGCTTCGTGGAGTGGGAAGGGGTGAAATGAACGGATGGGTGCAGTTGAGAGGGGTGGGAGTGATGCACCGTATCTCATCGTAGGAGGAGCGGCAGAAAGCTCAGCTTCCGAAAGCCAAACATGTAAAGGGGGGGTTTTGTGAGAAACACTTCATGATGGATGATGTATCCAAGCACGCCCGGAAAGCCCTCCTTTTTATGCTATTGTCTAATAATGGTTTTTTTTTTTTTTTTTTTTCAGTTTTCTTACATAATCTCAATCTACATGTGCACTTAGGGCGTATTCGGGACTTCGTGTCGTCTACGCTTCGTGTCATCCGAAATCATGGGATCCAATCGGAAAATTCGAATCTCGAACCGCGGGTTTTCAGATTGGCTCCCACAATTTCGGATGACACAAATTCGGGATGACACAAAGCTACGAATACGCCCTTATGTAGAGACCAATGTACCTATATGCAATGTTTGCTTTTAGGCTCAGGTAATTTCGCCCCAATTCTCTGTATGCGCTTCCATGAACGGATTTCCGCTTGAAGTGGAACTGTTACGAGTGCAATTGAGTGAACGAACGAGAATTGCACTATCGAAGCAAGAGTACAATGAGCGAAGGTATGAGCGAAGAATATATAGCGAAACTACAGTGGTAACGGTAATGGACTGTGGTTGTCGCGCGACGGGCCTGGGACTGAGGTTGGGAAAAGTGTCGAAGCGGAGGCCCGGAGCGCGGGTTACCCGCCGAGCCGTGAGGTCGGGGTGCGATGTGCGAAGGTGGCGGGCAGATTGTCGATGCGAGGGTTGCGAGTGGTAACGGTGCTGACTGTGGTGCTACAGTGATGTACGCGTTGAGCAGGGATGCGAAGTAAGGAAAAGGAATTTTCCTTACACTACCCCCCCCCTTAAGGAGGTCCTCCTTACGAGAGTGCGTGTACATCTCTGAAATTTCGGCTGCGCAGATACTCGGTGAGGACGGGGTGGTTTTCGATTCTGTCCAGGGGAACCCAATTGTCTTCGGTGGGTGTACGGTCCTTCCAGCGGAGTAAGAACTCGATCCTTCGGGCTCCTCGAGGGTCGCGAACTCTGTGACTCAGGATTTTCTCGGGGGTGATGATTGGTTCAGTTGGTGGTCTTGTCATGCTGGATGGGCGATTGCGTGGCAGTTGGCTCGTGGACGGGACGTAAGGGCGAAGTAGGCTGACGTGGAATGAGGGGCTGACGTACCAGTCAGCAGGGAGGAGGAGGTGGGCGTAAGCATGTGGCTTATGCGAAATGGCCCGTAGTATCGGGGGCGGAGTTTCGGAGTGATGGGCAGTCGAAGGTTCTGAGTGTCAAGTAAAACTAAGTCGTCGGGCTGGTAAGTGACGGGTCTGCGGTGGCGGTCGGCGTTGCGTTTAGCGATGATGTTCGATTTTTTTATTGCGTCTACTGCCCGGGTCCGTGCTGCTTGTAATATTTCGGCGAACTGTTGCGCGCGTGGAACCGGGTTGTCGGGATTCGGGGTCATGGGTACGGTTGGGTCTTGTCCGTAATTCAGGTAAAACGGTGACTGTTGGGTCGTGGCGGATGGGGCGTTGTTGTATGCGAATTCGATGAGTGGCAGTTGCTGTTCCCACGTGTTTGGGTCGTCGCACGTGGCCCGGATGAGCTGTTCCATGGTCTGATTTGTCCGTTCTGTCTGTCCGTCTGTTTCGGGGTGGTACGATGAACTAAACTGTAGTCGCGTGCCGAACTGCTGCCACAGGTTCCGCCAGAAGTTGCTGGTGAATTTCATGTCTCTGTCGCTGATGATCGATGCTGGTATCCCGTGCAGTCGAACGACGGTAGAGATGAAGAGGCGGGCTGTTTCTTCGGCTGTGATTGATTTTTTGCAGGCTGCGAAGTGTGCCATTTTTGTCAGTCGATCGACGACGACCAGGATCGCGTCATTTCCACTCGCCCCGGCCGGTAACCCCGTGACGAAGTCCATCGTCACCTGCTGCCAAGCACGCTCTGGAGGGGGGATTGGCTGCAACTGTCCCGCCGGCCGCTTCCGTGTTGACTTCATGATCTGGCAAGTGGGACACGATGCCACGTGTCGCTGCACGTCGGTCAACATTTCGGGCCAGTAATAATACCGCTGCAGCTGCTGCCGTCTTTTTTCTACTCCGAAATGCCCCGAAGTAACTCCGTCGTGTGCCTCCTATAACAGTAATTCCCGTAGCAGTGTATACCCAGGTACCCAAATGCGGTCAGTCCCGGTTTTTACGTAATAGACTCCCTTTGCTGCTGCGAACTGCTGCGAATTTCCTCCTGTGAAGAATGGATCCGTCTGGTACCCGTGGGTGAATAGGCCTGTCAGTAGCGGGCTTGTCTGGGCGAGTAGTATTGCGTAGATCTGGGCAGTGGGGCGGGTCAGTGCGTCGGCGATGTTCGAGGCTCCCTTTTTGTAAGTGACCGTGTAGTGGAAGTTTGACTCGAGGAAATCGAGCCACCGAATCTGTCGTGGGTTGAGGTGGGGCTGTGCGCGGAGGTACTGTAGTGATCGGTGGTCTGTCCGTACTGTCACGTCTGCGCCGGTCAAGTAGCAGCGCCACACTTTGAACGCATGCACGATCGCGAGCATTTCGCAGGTCGTGTATCGGGTAATTTCGCTCGGGCGGATGCAGTTTTCGTGACTCGTATGCGATGGGCTGTAGGCCGTTGCCGAAGTCTTGTAGCAGTACGGCTCCAATGGCGATGTCGCTTGCGTCTGTAACAACCTCGAAGGGGCGGTGTGGGTCGGGGATGCGCAGGACGGGCGGTGAACAGAGAACATTTTTCAGGGCAGAGAAGGCAGCATGCTCTTTCTCCCCCCACGTAAAAACGACCCCCTTTCGCAGTAAATCCGTCAGCGGGGCAGTCATCTGTGCCATGTCGGGGACGAACCGACGAACATAATTAACGAACCCTAAAAAACTCTGCAGTTCCGTGATGTTCGTCGGGGGACGCAACGCTTTTACCGTATCCAGCTTCTTTGGGTAGATTTCAACTCCAGCCTCCGAAATAACGTGCCCCAAAAATTCGAGTCTGTCCCGAAAAAACTCGCACTTAGAGCCCTTGGTGAGTAACCGATGTTCCTCTAAAACTTTAAATACTGCTTCGAGATCCGTTAAGTGCTGCTGCTTGTCGCGACTGTAGACGAGGATGTCATCGAGGTAAACTATCACGCATTTATCTAAGAGTGGCCTAAATGCCTCGTTCATGGTCATCTGAAAAGTCGCCGGTGCGTTGGTCAGCCCGATTGGCATCACAGTGTACTCGAACGACCCGTACCAAGTCCTGAAAGCTGTTTTGGCGCAGTCCGATGGTTCGACCCTAATCTGATGGTAACCTCCCCGTAAATCTATTTTTGAAAAAACCCGTGTTGTTCGTAGTTGGTCGATCAGTTCGTCGGCGCGGGGAATTGGGTACCGCGACTTGACTGTTACCCTGTTGAGCGCTCGGTAATCGATGCACATGCGAAACCCTCCGTCTTTTTTCGGTGTGAACAGTATCGGTGCGGCGAACGGTGACGAACTTGGTCGAATAAACTGCTTCTCTAACAAATAATCTAACTGCTTCCTCAGTTCGTCGAGCTCGGGCTGTGTCAGTCTGAACTGGCGCTGTACAGTTGGTTGTGCCCCCGGTTCTAACTCGATCCTATGATCATGCGCCCGCTGAGGTGGCAGTCCTTCCGGTAAGTCGTCTGGAAAAATCCCCGGGTACCGTTTCAATAGTTCCTGTAGTTCGGGCGGTACTGCTGTCAACAGTTTCTGAAAATCACTCGGCTGCTCTGCTTCCTCTACTACTGCGATGTCTACTGCGTACACGTCAGCCCCAGCAGCGACAGCCCGTTTCATTGTGATAGCGTTGACGTGTACCGTTGAAGACTCGGGCGACTGCCAGCGAGGTAGCTCGACCCAGTTACCACTACTTCGCACGGTGCAGCTACCCGTCGTCCAGTCAATTCGCGGGTTATATCGTCGCAGCCAATCACGTCCCAGTAAAATATCGTGCCCATCCAGTGTCGTTGCGAGCATTTCCTATGTAAACCCGAAATTTCCCCCGCAGCGGACTTTGACTCGCTCTACCTTTTCCCGTATGGCCAGTGGCGTGCCGTCGACTAAGCGTGCGTCTATCTCCGGTAAGCAACGGCTAAGTGTCAGCTGCAGTTTACGTGCGGTTGCGGTATTAACTAAACTGTGGCTTGCTCCTCCGTCGATAAAAATCTTCACTGCTGCTCCCTGTATTTTCCCGTGGATCAGTACTGGGCAATCCGTCGCTGTACCCTCCTTATTCATCCGAGCCCGATCGATGGCGTGAATCGGTACTGTGACTCGGTGAGGGTCGGTGCGGTTGGGCGAGCAGGCAGTCTCGTCAGTAGTTGGCCCAACTTCTACTGACTGCTGGCGTTTCCCTGCCTCTGAGACTCCCTTCCCTGCTCTGCTCCGCGACGCCTTAGCTCCTCTGGGCATTCGCTCTTGCGATGGCCCGGCCTGTTGCAAGCAAAGCAGCGCCCCTTAAACGGTGCGGCAGCTGCATTCGTTGCAACAGCGTTTACAGTGGCGTGCTCGATCGGTCCCCGAGAACGATGTCCGTAGTAGGACCCCGGTCTCGGTCGGCGTAGAATGTCGATTTTCTCGGCGAGCGCGAGAATCTCGTTGAAGTTTGAGAGTCCGCGCAGCATGATTTCGTGCGAGATATCCGGCTTCAGCCCTCCGACGTAACGGTCCATCCGCTCCGCTTCGTGCATGTAGCCGACCTGC